CCGTTATATTCCACCTGCAAAGGAGGCTGGGAAAGTGCCATGTGCCCGGAGGAGCCTGAGAAAGGGTTTGGGGGTAGATGACTGTGCCCAAGGCAGGCCCTGTGCTGCCTCCCCAGCGCTTGCCCAGGGCCGCACCTCAGGGGCTCTGCCTGTGACCCGGGCAGCAGAGGGCAGCAGCTCCCCTGATCCTCCTCCTCCTTCCAGGGCTCCTGGGGGCTGGGCCTGGGCTGCTCCTGCCCGTCTTCCTGGCCCAGCTCTTCTGAGCTCCGGGCACTGGGCCGTCCGGCGACGCCTCTGGTCAGCCTCCGGCTCCTCGGACCTCCCGATTCAGACGTCCAGTGTCAGCGGACTGCAGGCTGGGCCGGTGGGCCAAGGATGGGCGTCCCCTGGTCTGGCTCCCGGGCCCTTGTACCCCTTTCTCATGGTGCAGGCTGTCAGCCGCCTGTGCTGGCTTTCTCACCCTTGATAGTTTCTTGAAAACAAACCTGCTAGGCCTCTGTGGCTCTAGCCTTTCCCCGCAGTGCAGCGTGCCTTTGTGGTCCAGGGACCAGAGACGAGGGGCCGTGGGACAGGGGCAGGGGGGGGGCGGGGGGGGTGGGTGAGCTCCTAACAGAGGCCCCTCCCGTGCTAGAGATTGAACAAACTGGCCTTGCTTTCACCGCATCCTCTGGCGCATCTCCATCCCGGGCCCTCAGTCACATGGGAACATGCTTAAAGGGGCCACCCTCAGAGGCCAAGCCCCAGGAGAGATGGTCCACTGCTCCCCTGTCCCCATGGCACTGCTGACCTGCTTGGATGTGCCTGGAGCTGCACAGATTCCTGCCCTGGGCTGGTGCTGGGGGGACTGCTTGATGGGGTGCAGAGACCTGTTGGCCAGAGCACAGCCCAGCTGCACGCAGTGGTGCCCCCACACGCCCCCAATTTTAGAAGAGGATGATGCATCATTCCACCAGGCAGATGTAGCCACAGAGCTGGAGAGGGTGAAGGCCCTCTGCATGAGCCCTCACAGCCCTGGCAGTGCACCCCTTGCCCACATTGGCCTCAGGGAAATGACCAGGTCAGGGCCAGCCCAGGGCTGGGGCTGGGTAAGGGCAGGGACTGTCCACTAGGCACCTGTGCAGAAACGGGTGGTTTCAGGAAACAGATCCCACCCAATGAACTCAGGCGGAGGTGAGGAAAGATAAGGTTGCAGGAGCTCTGGGCCAGGACAGACAGAAGGTCCTTGGGACAGATGGCCCCAGGAGAGACGGCCCCAAGACAGGTAGCACCTGGGAAAGATGGATCCTGGGACAGATGACCCCTGAGATAAGACAAGGATGCAGGAGCTCTGGGCTAGGACAGACAGAAGGCCCCTGGGACAGATAGCCCCTGGGACAGACAGCCCCCAGGACAGATGGCCCCTGAGATAAGACAAGGATGCAGGAGTTCCAGGCCAGGACAGGCAGACGGCCCCGGAAACAGACGGCCCTGGGACAGATGGCCCCCGGGACAGACGGCCCCTGGGACACACGACTCCAGGACAGACGGCCCCTGGGATAACACAAGAATGGAGGAGCTCTGGGCCGGGACAGACAGACGGCCTCTGGGCAAGACAGTCCCTGGAACAGACACCCTCAGAACAGATGGACCCAGGGACAGACACCTCCAGGACAGATGGTCCCCGAGACAGACAGCTCCTGAGACTGATGGCCCCTGGGACAGACAGCCCTGGGACAGAAGGCCCACTGGCACCCAGGCTCCCCCCCAAAACCCATTGGTGTGTCTCTCCATCTGCCAAGTCCTGAAACCACAGACCTTCACATCTGCTTATCTGTGTCCCCTGTCCTGCCCTCTCTGAGAGGTGCATTTCCTGTTTATTTGTCATCACATGATAAGCACAGCTTTGAGGGTTCACACTGCTCCCTCACTCAGGGGCCACGGGACTGATGGCGTTGTGCTATTCCACCTCCAATGGCACTGGGTGGTCGGACTCCTGCCTGAGCCCAGGTTTCCCTGGTCCCATCTCTGAGGCACGTGCGTGGCTCATCTCCCTCAGCACAGCCGGGTGGGCCTGAGGGCAGGCCCAAAGGCCACTAGGATGGTGGCTTCCTTCAGACGGAGAGTTTCAAGGAGGAGGTGCCTCCCAGTTCCCCTGCTTCAGGATTCAGACCTGCTGCATCCCAGGGGCCATGCACAAGGAGGGGCTGAGCGAGAGACCAGGAGTCCTCACATGTCCCTTCTCCAGGCTCGGGCGGGGCTAGACCACGGTCCTCAAACATACATAGTGAAACTTGTTCTTTAAATACAGTTCTACCTAAATATCCATTAAGTTGAGATTAAAAGCAAATAGAATCTTGCTGATGTCTATGGTCCCCTCCTCCCTAGTCCTCAAGGAGCTCCATGATAACACAGTTTACCTGGGCAGAGGGTGGGACTCCCTGAGATATATGGCCTCAAGGTCTCTTCCAGCACAACGTACTTGGGATTCTACCTAAATAGAGCCTATCATCTATCTATCATCTATCTATCATCTATCTATCATCTATCTATCATCTATCTCTCATCTATCTATTATCTATCTATCTATCTATCTATCTATCTATCTATCTATCTATTATCTACCATCATCTATCAACATCTAACTATATCTACTTATCTATAATCTATATATCTATCATTAATCTCTCTATCATCTACCTCCTATCTTGTCTTTCTCTTTCTCCATCTACCTATCATCTAGCTGGCTAGTTTCAGCTTTTTGTTTTTTGCTGATACGTGTGCTCCATGACTGACAATCTCAGAACATCCAGTCTACTTTATTCTTTTGATCAACACTAACCTGCTGGGAAACGTGCCATGTCCCAGGCCCCAGGCCTGGGTAAATGATGAAACACAGTCCCTGTGCTGAGAGGTTCGAATCTGGTGGGACATGAACACACAGAGAGACTCCCAGGTACAGCACAGTCAGGCACACATGCTCACTGACACTCAGATGTAGGGCTCACACCTGACAGAGAGACAGGCTCTAACGGCTGTGCACATCCACCCCTTGAGCCCAGAGACCCATCTCTACACAGCACCTCACCTGGGCCCGCTAGCCCAGTCACTTTCATATGCATTGCCAAGGCCATGAATAATTTAGTAACAGCAAACATGTTTTTAAGCATGTCCTGTGCACCAGGCATTATTCAAGTGTATTATGGGCATTATAGCATCCAACTCACGTTAGCTATTTAAGGCAGGTACTATCATTATTCCTGGTTTAGAAATGAGTAAAACTAAGGTGTAAAGAAGTTAATTACTCACCCAGGCCTGTCACTGTTAAATGCTGGATTCAGGGCTTGAAAGCCAGGTAGCCCTGAAATTTGGGAGCATATGCTTTCCAACTAAGTTGCTGTATTCCTGCCTTGTCTACACACAACACACACACACACACACTCAGACACTCATATTCACACATGTACCACCACACATACACACACACATATGCATTGACACATGTGGACAGACAACATATTTGCAACACAGAGGCCCTCACACATACACAGGTATTGACATTCATGGATAACACAGATGATAACATATACATGCCCACTTATGCATACTAGTATACACCTTAGTACAGAAAAAAAACCCATAGAGACACTTATAGCCTATGCCACACACACACACACACACACACACACACACACACACACACACACGGGTACATAGCCATATGCATACATGCCTGCAAGACACAGGACCTGGATCCCATTTCCCCAGGCCAGGCCGCCAGCCATGCCTCCTCCCCCATTAGCTGTCCTCTCCATCTCCCATTCCCCCCAGCTGGGCACTGGGACAAGAAGTATAAACCAGGGGACACAGTGGAAACGGGCCTGGACCCAGACTCTGGAAGTTCTGGAGTAGAAGAATGACGGAGACATGAGAAACAACCTGACCCCCATTCAGGAAAACTAGCGTCTGTGCTGTGGGACCATCTAGAATGAGCCTGTGGGGGTTTCAGAGAGGGTAGGCAGCCTGCTTAGCAGCTGCTGGGAAAGCGGGCATGAAAGTGAAGCGGGTAAGGCTGAGACAGACGCTGAAGCAGGAGCAAAGGAGAGAACTCAGCCCAGCTGGAAAAGAGGGAAGGGTTCTATCCCGGGAGCTTCATCCCTTCCTTTTCCAGATGGAAACTGAGATTCCAAAAAGAGAAGTGTCATGGCCATTCATAGTTCTCTAAGGGATGCTATAAGATGTGTTGTACCAGCTGGCATGAGGAGGCAGGGAGAAAGGCGATCCCCTGAAAGCTGGTCACCTGAAGGAAATGTGGAATGAGAACCCAAAAAATAAATGCCAGCCAATCTAACTCATTTCATAATCTCGCCTCATCTGCTCCTTCTAACCCAGCGGTTCTCAACCTGTGGGTAGTGACTTCTTTGGCGGTCGAACGACCCTTTCACAGGGGTCGCCTAAGACCATCCTGCATATCAGATATTTACATTATGATTCTTAACAGTAGCAACACTACAGTTATGAAGTAGCAACGAAAATAATTTTATGGTTGGGTCACAACATGAGGAACTGTATTTAAAGGGCCAGAAGGTTGAGGACAACTGTTCTAACCTCTTTCTCACAGGAAGGGCTAGAAATCATGCTATACCCTCCTCATCACCATACATTCTCCTGTAAAAACTCCAGGAAATGCTTCCACTCCATTTGGCCCCATTGACAAGCTGTCATCTCTTACCTGGACCCGCAGCTTTCCAACTGGCCTTTCTCCAGGCTCCCCCTCCCCATCAGTCCCCTACTGTGCAGCTGGTGAGCACTTGAAGCAAATTCACTTCTCTTTTTGCATCCCTCCAGCAGCTCCTTCTGTGGGGCGAGGTTGCCTGCCAGCTAACGGACAGTGTCCTCCACTGTCTGAGCTCCACCTGCTTCTCCCGCCTGCATCTCATACTTATCCCCTTTGTAATATTGGGCCTCCATCCTTGCATAGAGCTAAAAAGTAATTCAGAGCCAGGAATTCTGGCACAAGGAGTTTATTTATTTATTTTATTTTTTATATTTTATTTATTTATTTTAAAAAATATTTATTGTTGAGAGTATTACAGAGGTTTCCATTTTCCCCCCATTACCCCCTCCACCTGGTTCATGTCCCATCCCAGGCCTTCACCACCTTATTGTTTGTGTCCATAAGTAATGCATATATCCATATACATAAAAGCCTAATATGCAAAGTGTCCCCTTGGGAGTTTGACTGACCAGGAGTTCAATCACTTGCTATAATGTGCGTTGACCACCAGGGGGCAGCGCGGAACGAAGGGAGGCCCTATCCTGCAGCCACTAGGGACCCTACCTGTGCAAGAATTTCATGCACTGGGCCTCTAGTATGCATATAAGATCTTTGGTTAACCTCTCCCCCTGCCCTTTCCCTCTGAGATTCATCAGTCTGTTCCAAGTCTCCATGCCTCCGATTTCTTATTGATTTCTCCTCCTCCTCCTCCTTCTCCTTCTCCTTCTTCCTCTTCTTAAAGAACATCCTTCAACATTTCATGTAAT